GACCCTTTGACCCTCCTTCAATTCATCAATATTTGATTGAAAACAAGACAGCAAATAATTGAACAAATGAAGGGATGAAAATTAATGAAAAAAAAACTAAAACTGATAAAAAATTTGAAATACAATAATTGATAATATAATTCATATACTTAATAATAATACTACCAATTATATAAATAATTTTTATCCAAATCTTGAAATCAGGCTACTTGTTGTGTGAAAAGCTTTCTTCATTAACACCTCCAGCCATTAGCATAAGGATAATGACAAATGAGTTAGGCGCAGGATGGAAAGGACTAGGCAGGGGGGAAGGTTGAATGGATGGATGAGCTGCTGTCAGTGCCACCCTGCTTCATTCGCATTCGCATTCTAATGCCTCGTGTGCCCTATTTATGAAAACAGTGGAAAACACACGGCGCACAATACTGGCGACAATTATACAACAAAACAACAGCTTGAAAAATCCATTAAAATGATTTTAATCCTTTAACGAGTCAGTTGCGCCGACTTCGAAGGAGAGTAGTCCTGAAAATGCGCATCGCGCGGTGGTTGAACAGAATCCTCCGTTCTCCGTCCTCCATCCAGTAGACCCTGAACCCTGCAAATCCTAAAACCAAACCAAAAACCCAACCCTCCAAAGGCTATAAGGCCTTAAATTATTTTAAAGAGCCCCGCGCGACTGTTGCAACAATAAACACGCGATATAACCAGGCTGTGAACAAGGATAACGACTGCCAAGGACGATTGTTACGCCTAAAAACAAAAAACAAAACAAAAAGGGAAAGCAAGAAACAGTCGTTGTCGTCGGCGTCGTCGCCTGGTGAACAAATCGCGTTTGATACGCTTTGATTTTATTAAAATTTAACAATTTCGCTATGAAATTTATGATGCCTTCCGGGTGGTTCATTTCATTTCAGTTTTTCACTTCGATTTCCCTTCAATTGGATTCGTTTCGCCTTTTTGTTGGTACGACCCAGCATTTTCCGACAAAAGGCATACGAAAACACTTGTTTTCCGTTTTTTGTATCATTTACGAGATTTCTCGATCGATTTTGTATTGCAGATAATGAAACATCCATTGTATTTCTATAAGCACAAGGAGGAATGCTTAAAGTAAAGTCATCCAACTTCTTTTTGACCCTTTATCTAATATATTTTTTCCACTCACCCACTCATTTAAGCAAAATTTCTCTTGAAAAACTAATCTATGTGGGAGAACTTGTTGTTTAAAAAATGCATTTAAATTTTTGACTTTCGGATGACTCTGTGCCAAATTCTACTGTACAAAGCGAATCAAAATTACTTTGAAAATCATTAATACATATATCTCAATGCTAATTTACAGAAATATTTTTGCGAATCTTTTATTATTCAATGGAAATTAAATTAATAAAGTTACGCTCTAAATACCTTTTAACAAAAAGCACCAAATCAACCTTACCCCCCTAAAAAGGTGCTTTTCAATTTGGGTATGTATCTTTATGAATAATGTACATATATAAAATACATAAAATATAAGAAGGTAAAAAAGTACATTTTGCTAACTTCCTGCATCTAATCTCTAATAACCTTTAACATCCCATCAGTACGCATTCTGTGTGTGGAATATTTTGGCTTTTCCATATGTGTGGGTATTTCCCTATTCCTTATCAGAAACTCTGAAGCTGAATCTCAAGCTCAAGCTCATGGGCGATGATGGCTTTAAAAAGCCGAAGCTTTAAGACTCGCAGCATCAGTTGAAATATTTCCCGTGATTCTTTCAGAAGAAAGTTCCGTTCGATCGCAAAAGTTAAAAATGATTCTCCCCGTGGCCCTTATTTCGGCGTGTTTCCTAATTTCTGCCTCTCTGGGATCGGAAGAAGTAATTGACATTTTGAATTTTTTTTTGTTTTGAAAACTATTTAAAATTAAAATTCCACAGTCCTGCTATCTCTCGGAGGAGCAGGAGGACCAGTGTGCTTCAGTGTGCTACCCTATCGTCAAGCCACTACTTCGTTATTTTGAGAAAAGTAACGAGAAAGAATTCCAGCTCCTAAAAAGCAAGACAGACTACTCGGACCTGCAGCAACGATATTCGGACTTGCAGAGCGAGGGTCTGCAAAAATATGCCCAGATATCAAAATGCCAAGGGGATTATTCGGACTTGGTGAAAAGCCATTTGGAACTGGAAAATAAATATGCGAAGGTGCTGAATGAACTTAAAGATAGTGAAGTTAAATATGAGAGGCTCTTTTCTAAGCAGCAGAAAGGTGAAAATCTTAAAGCTCTAATAATGGAAAAACATGAGGAAATAAAACAATTAAAAGAACAAATTAGTGACTTGAAGAAACCAAGTGAGCTTGCAACGTTGACAAATCAGTTTCGTGAGGACATTGCCAAGTTGGGAGGAATAGTAAAGACTCAAGAAATTAATGAAAATAATCGAAAAAACTCGAATAATAAAACTGAAGAGGTCCTAACAATTCCACTGCCTATTATTAGCAGACGACCCCAAAAACACAACCCACAGGTAAGTCGGCAGAACCCAATCATTTCCAAAATAAAACATTAAATTTTTTAACTCTTTCAGATCTTTGTCCACGAAACCCAGAAGAAACCATCCGCATAATCCAAATTACAGGCTCAAGCCCGATTAAAGTGGTTTGTCAATCATTCTCGGATATTGGATCTGGATGGATGTTTGTTTTTGGTAAAAATTATTTTACAAAATTTAATCGCGCGTATGAGGATTACGAGCGTGGATTCGGAGATGTCGAAAATAAGCGGGTGGATCAGCTCTTTTTTGGACTCCAAAGATTGCACCTTCTATCGAATGAAAAGCCTCTTGAAGTGGTTATAAACACCAAAGGAGAGGACTATAAAATATGCGACAACTTTGTTGTGGGCGATCGAAGCGAAGGCTATATGCTAAAAAATATTGACAATTGTACTGGAAACCACCTCACGTGGTTGAGTCTTAAGCAGGGCTCCAAATTTTCTGCCTCCTTTCGAGATGAGGATGGAGTTCCTGATCGTAATTCGGCAAAGGAAGGGGGCTTTGGCTGGTGGTTCGATGCTAGTATGAGGTGTGTATTCCAATTTTTTTTTCCTTTTGTTTCATCCCCAACTTTCTAAAATAACTAAAATAACACATTTTTTATTTTTATCTAATTTTTCATTGCTGGATATATACAGAAGTCTTACAAATAGTCGAATAAGAATGTGGGTCCGAAGAACAAATTGAAGAAAACCAATCGCCTTTTAAAACGGACTTTGGAAAAGGAAACATTTTAAGAAAATATAAATATTATAAATATGCACTAAAATTTAACTATTTTATTTTTAAAATTATAAAGACAATACTCGTAAATTTTTTAAATTTTTAATAAATTTCAAAATAAAATTGTTAAAAATGAATCGAAAATTATAGTTTTTACTGAATAAAGTTTAAGAAGGTAGAATAACACAAACAAAACAAAATTTTGAATTTCAGACATTTCAGGACCACCCCCAAATAAGCCCTTTACAAAATGAAAAATGTACTCTGGTTTACTGGTACTTTACTAAAGAAACTTAGGTGCTGGAAAATGATATCCATAAAACGTCTGATCTTATTCAAAAAGAAGATAGTTATGTGGCAGTCGAGTTATAATGGATATAGTCGGTCGATCCGTATGAAATTCGGTATGTCAAAGTATGTTTCTTTCTTTCTTAGACAGACCAGACGGACATGCTTATATCAACTCAGAAGGTTATCCTTGTCAAGAATATTTATACTTTATAGGATCGGAGATGTTTCCTTCCTTCAAATATAAAAAAATACAAATAAAAAAAAAATATAAAAACAAAAAAAGTGGGAACTGCTAAAAGAGCAGTAATATAATGACTGGCAAAAAAAAGGAAGGCAGCCTTTTATCCAGTTTTTTGGGCAAAATAAAGCCTTCATAATGTCTCGATAACAGCATACTAGTCTCGATAACATGCGAATTGCAGGCTGCTCTTATCAATTATCCATAGGGTTGCCCTTTGCAGGTGACATTTAAATGGCTGTTTGTAAAAAATGTAATACTACATAGTATAAGTTACAAGTTTTAAGTATTATTAAATATTTAGTATCCATAATTAGCTTAGAACCAACAAGCTTCTTTTTAACCTTTGCCCCTGCTGTTGGAAAACTTTTTATCAACCACAACGTTAAAACATGTTTATTAAAAATGATAAAATAAAAACCAAACAAAAAATATCCATTAAGCCCCACCTACTACACTTTCAATTAGCAAAAATATCAAGTTATAGACTTGGCCAAAAAATTCATAAAATAGCAAGTCATCTCATTAGAGGCTAAAAGGCAAAAAACCAAAAAGAAGAAGCTCCTTGCCGTAATGAGGATTATGTGTTTTTATCGTCAACCTATCCGGTTAAGTCTGCCGCTATCTCTAATTAACCCATTAGCCAATCCAGATCCACTTATAACCCCCCGAAAGCACAGCCCTTAACATTTTTTAGGAGCGCCGCGGGCACTGGAATTTTTGGGCTTCGGTTCGTTTAATCCTTCGAAGGACGAAGGGCAGAGGTTGGAAAATATATTTATTTACAGCTAATTTCGCGTACGGCCCGCGGCCAAAATAAACTGGCAATAAGCTTACCTGGTCCAGGTAGCCACCACCAGGACCCCAGACCACCATAACCCATCATTAGGCTTAACCCCCTGATGCCTCAGATGCCCCTGATGACACTGATATGCGGCGTGGCAACGGGGCGAGGGAGAAAAGCCCTCGAGGACATTTCGCAAAAGCCGCTACTTGGCTGTCAGTTTTTAGCCCGAATCAGCCCTTCTCTAAGCCGCTGAGTCCTCAATACGGATAACTCTGATTGTTATCCTCTTAGATTGGATATGAAAGTCAAAACAAAAGTTTTGGAAGATGGGAGACATTTTTTATAACATGGGAAGATGTGGTCTTCAACATATAACTTAAATATTTTAAAATTAGGGCTTAAATGGACCCTAAATTAGTTCTTACCTGGCAGCTTGAAGGGCAGGCCTGCCATCAGAGGATCTGGTCCGAAGCGCTGTGGCCCAAATGCGAATGGATGGAAGCCCTGGTGCCTGACCTTTGATCTGGGCTCCCTGGGTCCGTCAACGGTCACCTTGATGGCCTTTGTGTAGGTGGCTATTTGAATGGGATTCGTTGAGATGACAATTGTCAGGGTGAAGCTTTTGCCTTTAAAGTAAAGAATATATAGTATTTTTGAGTTTAAATATTTATTATATATTTTTTGAATTTTTTTTTTCAAATATCATTTAGTTTAGAGTACATTAAAAGGCTTTAATTGTGATTGCGAGTGAAACAGTGTTGACTAAAACGTGTGTTATTAGCCCTTCAACGGTGTCTAGGGTTTATTTTCCCTTTCGAAGAGGAAGCTATATGATAAAAGATATTAAAGGATGTGCCGGACATATATTGTCATATATTGCCCGGCCTAAGTCCTAAGTCAAGTTTTTCACCTGGGATCGAGATGAGGGTGGAAATCATAAAAAAAGGCAAGTGTAAGAAGACTTTGGAAAAGGAAAAATTATAAAAATAATACATCGAATATGTAAAATTGTATTATTAATTTTTAATAACGAGTTAAACTTTAGTTTTACTAACTATAAAATACGTTGACTATATATGTATACATTCAAGAATGAATTTTCATTTTATCATCGGGTATCATTTAGTAGAAAAACTCTACATTTAGTAGAAATTTTTGTTTATAGTTATAATTTTAACATATCAGTTAAAATTTCAGTTAAAAGTTTCCTCTAAACACAACTCCTAATAAGCAACCGCTGCGTCCCAATAAAACCTCCCCCGTTTCTTTACCTTTCTTGCTGATTAACTCTAGAACTTGGATTCGGAATTCCAAATGTTTGGCAAACAAATTCTATATTCGCGCTCTCAGTTCGCTTCTGCCTTATGGATATTTGAAATATGCCAGGGGGGAGCATGGAGGGGGAATTGGTGTTAAATGGGCACACAGTGGCGTAGCCCAGACGGGGGTCGGTAGCTGCCAACTCGACCAGACAAATCCACAATAGTTGGCATGTCAAAGTCGCCGCACGCTACTTAATATTGCATTCGCAACAAAGAAAGTGCATGCTGTTTCCCCCCCTCTGTTTTTTTTTGAATAAAATTCAATTCTACTAGTCTCTGCCTTCCATGGGCGGACTATCTTTTATTCCACCTTCTCTGTGCTTTCATTCATTCATTTATTCATTCGTTTATTCGCCAGGCTACCTTGGTGTTTGTCCGTGTGTTTTATGAAGCTTTCATAACTCCGTCGGGGGTTAATTTTCGCGAAAACTGTTTCCATACCCATTCCCTTGATCCAGTTCCCCTTTTTCCCATTTCTGATTCTCATTCACAAAATTCTGCACTTTAATTTCCATGTGCAATTCACACCATCCCCCACACACTCGCATCTATTTGCCAAATCCACGGACCATCCATGGCAACCCATAGGGTCATAGAAAATCTATAAATTCACAGCATAATTTGCAGCTGCCGTGGGATTGCACACACACACACACACACAAAGAGTGGGTGGGTGTGGGTGGTTGGGTGGCTGTGTGGCTGGGTGGCTTGGGCGCGAAACCATTGCCAGTTGCGCCCGCTGATTGCATTGGAATGGTCGCCAAAAAAATTCAACAAACACCGTCTGCGAGCCTTGCTTTGAAATGCAAGCTGCGGGGCTTATCCTCCTTGGGGGTTGAGATTTTTGAATTTTTTTAAGAAATTATTCTTGTAAAATATTAAAAATAAATAGATATGTGCTGTGATGTAAATAAATGTATTTTTTATTGAACTAAACAAAATTAAGGAACAACCCTTTTTTTTTTAATATTGAAAAGCCTTAATTTTTCAATAACTAAGATTTTTCTAGAGTATAAATAGGTTACAAATAAATGAAAAAAATATATAATTATTTTTTTACAAGTTTTATTCAGAACTTATTTTATAAAAATAAAATATTGAAGGTCTTCTGTTTTGCTTATATTTTTCCATTAACCTTAAAGACTAAATATAAGTAACTGATCCCTGAACCATTCTAAAGCTATACCTTATAAGTCCTAAATTGGGCTATAATTTGGGGAATTTTTAACCGATGTTAAGTTGTAATGCCTTTAATTGTTTGTCCAATGTTTATATTTAGATCCTTAAATCGAATTAAATAGTATTTAAAATTAATTTGTACCTAATCCCCCTCCGCTAAAGTCAAGCCGAGAACATAATTTTAATTAAAGTTGGCAGTGGTCTTGGCCAACAGTCTGGTAGTCTTATAAACCATTTAATAATATCCCGCCTAAGTCGCAAGTCATTTGCAGCTTTTTGGTTAAACAGAAGCAACAAAAACAACAACAAAATCAGTGAGAACAAACAAACTTCTTAGATTAATATTAAATTAAACGAAGCATACAAAAAACGCAAGAAGGCGGTAATCATTAAGACAAAAGGCGGCAAACAAACTGCGGATGTGTATGTCTGTGTATGGCCACGCCCACAGCCTCGTCCTTGTTTTTGGATGGTAGTTAGAGGAGAGGGGGAGGACAGGGGGAGTGGAGAAGAAACCCCAGAAACCTACACAAGAAAACAAATGAACATAAACAGGCGAAACGAACCAAGAAACCCAACAAAATGAAATGAAACTTTTTTAATTATGCGCCCTCAGCAACAGAAAAGCAACAAGCTGGAAAAGCGGAAAAGCGGTGCTAAGAGCGCGGGGGCTGTAGGTTGGGGGAGGGTCTAAAAATCCATGGGCGTTGGGTTAAAAAAAAAAAACAGGACAAAGGGCTAACGGGGGCAGGGTAAGAAAAGCCAAAAGGATGTAACCAGAGGAGGACTCCAGCAAAGTGGCTAAAGACAAAGGACTTTTCGGCATCGTAGTCTATTTTTGTTTACTACTCGTCCTTTTTGTTTTTCTTTTCATTTTTCGCCCCTTTTTGTTTGTTTTTTTTTGCGCCAAATGAGCAAAAATTGCAAATAAATCTGAAACGCTAGCAGTTAGCCATTTTCCACGCGGCACTGGGGCAGGAGTAGGAGTATGGGGGCGTGGCAACAAAAGGCGACAAAGAACTTTTTCCTGCTAATAAGATGAAAAACCATTAAAAGTCGACACAAGTCGCGTCCATTGCGAGTGGAAGCGGAGAAGGAGACTGGCTCTAAATGCGATATACACTCAAAAAATCAAAAACTTCAAATTTATAAAAAATATTTATTTACCTAATTTAACTGTCTTACTTAAAGTACATGTATATAGGTACGTATGTAGGTATATCCTATCACTAGCTTTCAAAAGCTCTAGCTGCAGTTAATCGATACAATTCGATAATCGATTTAATATTATATAAATGTGATATATAAAAATAAAGTAAATTTTTGTATATTATGTATATTATATCTTCAACTCCTATCTTCATTTTATTTTAAGAATATATTGCCTATAAAAAAATATCATTTTTTAAAATAGATCGTAGTCTATACATTATTACAAATTTTATTATAAATATGTAGTCTAAAACTCAATATTTATTACTTCTTAATTATTAACTTCTTATAACACAAATAAAAAATTATATTAAACATCTATTTTCAAAGAAAACACTATCCTACTTTCTTTAGCATTTTGATACACACATCGCTTTATTAATTAACATTAAAAATGGAATAACCTTATTTATTTTTAGTGCACTGGCTGCAAGTGGGTAGACTTTGTCGGGTTAAAATGTTGTCATTTTCGCAACAAAGCAGAAATTATCACCACTTTGCAAAAGGCGACGACAAGGACAACATCGGCGATGGCGATGGCGTTGGTGTTGGCGAAAGGAGCTTGCAAAATGTTTAAAAATGGGGTCTGGGGGCGGGCTAAGTGGAGTGGGGGCGTGGCAGGAATTGTGGACAAAGTCTGCACCCTTTTACTGTCTCTACATGTGCATATAATTGTGTCAGTGTGTATGAGTAAAAGTGTGTCTGTGTGTGGGTGGATACTACAGTAAGGCTTGGCAAATCAAGAAATACTTAAATTTTAAGCTTTGGCGCTATACAAAAAATTTTCATATAGTTTTGTGAATAATTATCGTATAAAAGGTAAAATTATGTAAAATAAAAACTTGGTTTATTAATTATCTCTTAAATTTCGAATTTTTGGCTAAATTACTAAACTAATATAAAATATACTAAACTTTGAATCTTACAAAATTTTTAGGTAGTAAACTATAGTCTAAGTAAAGATAAAATTATTATTACAAATTTGAAAATATTTTTAAACATAAACCAATAGACCAAATCAAAATAATATAATACTTTAAGCTAAAACTTACATCATAAACTTAAACCTTAAACGTAAAAATTAAAACCTCATTAAAAGAACAATTTTTATGTTATATATACTATATATCTATATATTATATATTATATCTTACATTTTATATGTTTTATATACTTAGTACATATATACATATGTATAAAAAATTTAAGAAAGGTTTAAAAAAATCCCCCGAATTGTGATTTTTATCGCCTAGTTTTTCTAAGCTTTTCCTCGTAAAGAATTACCACTGTAGTCCTTGTTATTTGTGCTAGAGTGTGTGTATTTGGGTGTATTACCGGGCGCTAAGTGATTTTAAAACAAAGTTTTTGAAACGTTTAACCTTGCAGAACGAAAAATGTTTGGCTTGGCGGCGGAAGGGCGAGGGCGGCAGGCAGCTGGCGGCAGGCAGCAGGAAGGCCCTCTGCCTGAATTTTAACTTTCGATGCTGATAATGAAGGCGGGATGGCAGCCGCCCCCAAAGCCAAGCAAGGACTAGCAAGCCAGCAAGGGTGTCTAGTGTGCTTAGGCAATTTAATGGCTCCTGTTCCTGTTTCTCGTCCTGCTACGGGGAGCTGTTAATGTCGTTAGTAGCATGGCGCCATAATTATAATTTGACACAAGACAAGAAGTCTGAGGTTGACAACAAAATGACATTTTAAATACACAGGAGTCGAGCCACCCTTTCAGGCTTTCTGGCTCGAGCCCTTTGTTGCAGGACTCGCCGTATTTAGACACTTGCCAGATCATAATTTCAACACTTTCGAATTTGCCTAATGGCCAGGATTCATCGAGGCTTTGCCTATATCCTTATATCCTTTATCCTACACAGGACATACATTACGGAGAAACTTTCTTAAGCCTGCAGTGTGTATAT